TTCGGTTTTTGAAGTGCTCGAATTAAATGTTTTACGTCAATTAATAATTCTCACCTTAATGTAAATAATTTAGATTATTAGTACAGTATTACACCGATAATTATTCATTTTGAATAAGAGGACTTTTGGTAATTATCTCGTAAGTTATGCATTCCAGATTTATATTCATACTGAAATGAAGCATTACACATCTCACTGTAACTGGCTGTTTGGAGTACATTTTGTTTGAGTTTTATGTTATTTCATTTATGTTTACTTCACTGTGCGAAACATAGTTATTGATGATTTGCACTCTGATCACTATATAAAGATATCAAACAAGATGTTGTACGATTTCATTATAGTAATATTTTCCAATCAAGATTTCCAACTTTCTGTTCCGAACATTTGGTAAGAACTATGTTAGTTTCAGTCAGGAGTTAACTATTGTAACTCCAATTAATTTGGATTCACATAGTATAGTGTTCTTTCGTTTCTTCTCATTTTATAAATGATTAAAAACGAGTATAATTGAATCAAACGAATTAATTGAGAATGTGTCATTTCCTGAAAGCGTACAGATCATTAAGCGTTTGGTGTGTTTTAAGGTATGGTCAAATATCAGACTCTACAATGAATTTCCCAACTTGAATATCTGTACATTTTATGTAAGGAACAGAATATTCCTTCACATCACTTTCGTATAACTGATTACAGAACAATGAAATTCAGCATTTCAGAAGTCAGTTCTTTAATGACAAATCGTAAACAAAATAGTAAAACTGAAATTACATGAATAACCTGTAAGGCCTTGTATTAGAAAATACGGAGTTTCCCTTATTGATCATAAATTTCCCAGTTCCTACCGATCATGAGATGTCTTGAATTCGTATGCATTTCATTTGGCTTTAAATCATATATTTTTCCATACTTTTATGTAAATTGAACAAACTGATAGTTAGTGACATTTAGCATTGAGAAATCGAAATCGGAAGTTGACTTACTAGACGATTCAACCAACTTAAATTTACACTATTAGACCACATTGAAACGTTGGCATTAACTACTGCATAAACTACATTTACAAAATCTCAGATACTGGATGAATGGGTTCGTGATATTTCTTTTCATTTGAGGTTGAATCCAACAATGTTGTTTTGTAAATTTTATCCTTCTCGAGTTGCGTTATTCGCCGTTTTCCATGCAATATTTTGGTTGCCCGTGATGTGAGTTTAGAAGAATTCATAAATTATCATGCTGATTAATATAATAAGTTTAGTATAATCAACTTTTTGTTTAATACACACACACTGATTGTTTATTGGTTAGTAGTATGTATTTGTTATCACAGAAATTGTTTGCGAATTAACCATCATGTATGTGTTTGCTTTGGATTGAGAACTGAATTTTAATAGTGCTATTAAGCACATGTAGACTTGACATTTAATTTCGTTTAACACATTTCTAGAGGAACACGATGACAAGGTCATTACGCTGAAATATGGTTATCCACAAACAGTCGATTGCACAACAGATTGTCACAAGCATTAAGAAGTAGCTCAATTAGAAAATCGTTCGGTTAGGAACAAATAACCGTGAAGTTCTACTCTACTATAAATTTGATTAACTTCATCGTAAAAACGATATTGATAATGATGTGTAGTAGTTCCCTACCTCAGTTGTGGTGTAATAACAAAATTCTTTTTACTTGTCTTAGTAAGGGGATTGTTAAACTACTAGTTATTTTGATATAAATTGAGGAAATTAGTTTGTCTGATGAAATAGACGTATTTCATCAACGGACATATGAATATTTTCATAAAACTTCTTTTCTTGTTAGATATGTTGTTGCTGTTTCCTATGATCATGTACAGCCATTTGTTCCATTTGTAAGGTGAGCAGGATATTTTGAGATTTATCTATGTGTGTACAAACGTTTATTAGACATTTATGTCGGATGGTATAACTGGATTCGCTTGGAATATCATCAAGATAATTTAGGTATTCTATAATGTGATATATTGAGTGAATAACGTAGATAGTCATTTTAGTGATACCCTCACAACTTGTAAACTATTTAAATCAAACTGAACAAACGACTTGATAAATTCACCAGGTTGGTTGCTAGAAAGTTCAAGGTGCTTAGTTCGCGAAAATTCCCTATCACTTTCAGTGAATATTACAGCATAGATCTTTGGAATTCACATAAGAAGTACACTAAGATGTTTTTGAGAAATATATGTCAATGTGTAGAGCAATGTTCGTTCCTACGAAATGTCAAGTGAATGAGATTTTCAAACATGATAAATAGATAATCCCGAATAGAAATACAGTCACTTCACAATTCAATGTAGAACAGCATACGAGATTTGAATGCTGAGAACTAGTTTAGTCAAAGTACATTCATGATAATCATCTTAAAATACAAAGAAGTTTTGATGACAATTAGAAACGTGGTCTTTCATGATATTTAGGAATGCACTTGGTACTTCACATAGTTTCACACTAAATGAAATAGGTTTAGAAACAGACCACAACTTTGGTTATTTCCTGTAATCTAATGATTATGTGTACACAGCAATCCAATAGAACTAGTCACAAATAATAATTTTATGCTTTTCCAGTTCATTCGGAATCTATTCACCGGAAAAATACATGATTATGTGTTTTCTGGGTTCATATGGAGTAATGAGTAAGTAAAGTCGAATTCATCATGTTGCAGATATTTTGCTATAAATCTTAAATAAAATTACTATGAATCCTTGTTAACATTTCTACCGAGATTTGGTAAGTTGTATATTGTAGACAATACAAAGTAGAGGAATTATATTCGCACGAATTTCCATGATAGAGATGAAGTACTACTGATAACCAATTCACAGAGACAATTTGTTAATGCTGTGATCATCGTAACATGCTTCACAAACGTGTTGAACACTATCTAGAACAGATGACAACCAATTTCATACTTGTTTGTACAAACACTTGCTTTCAGAATAATCAATATCAAGTTCCATTATTGAAAAATGAATACATAAAAAGTAACAAAAACCCTCATGTTTTATTACATGTTCTATACACTAAGATCCGTTGTGTTGTACATTAGATTGTGTTTTTCAACTACACTATTGACTGTCATTGATTAAGATAATAAGACAGATACAATTCTTTAGGGGATTTCATTCAGTCAGGATAGCTAATATGATTCGGAATATACTCAGAGACTACGTTGATAGGTAATAATAAAAGTGCTCTCCTGTTTCTGTTTGGACGCCTGGGCAGTATCAACGCCCACACACGAACAACTGACTTGATTGGAGCACATGTTTAAATTTTTCCATGTTCAGCGATGAACGAATCCTATGGGTGATGGTTTACGGTGCATTATGCGCATGTGTTTAAGAACCTGGTGAAATATCGGTTTCCGAAAGTTTAGTCGATCATTTTAATTGTTCTAATTCTCGTAAAAATTGATTTCAAGTTTCTAATTGCTTATAATTAACGTTCTAACAAATACCTACGGTTTTAATTTCCTCACGTGAATCAATACAGTGGATTTGCGTTCAATAAACAGAAAGAGCCACTAAATAATGGCTGCAGTAATCCAAGTTTTACCTCACCAATACTGCACTAATGACAAGTCAGAAAATACCTCATCTTTCATAAATCTATGAAATGTCACATGAGAATAAATAATCTCAACGCAATAAATTGTGAGATGACTTATGGTATAGATGATAACACATTACTGAATCATTATGTTTCAGTGCAGTCGCTTGTTTTCCTCTCGATTACTTCTCACCAAGTTTTTATCTGAAATTTCAGCAATTATAAGTCAGTGGTTTTGGTGCTTCATGATGATAAATAAACTCAAACAGAAATCCCAGTTCGGAATTCGTCCATGTATCTGCGTCTTCATTGGATTGGTTTATACGATATCAGGAATTTGCATTGTTCTGTTATCATTCTTCAATGTACGTCCAGCTCGTGAAATCCTTTGTAAGATTATTGAGAAATGAAAGTCAAACAACGGAGATGGCAATCCCTATCTTGTACACTGTTCATTTATATTATTTGAAGAACGAAGTGAATTAGTTGAGTCACTTGCTGTAACAGATATCAACTTTGTTGGTAGGGAAGTATTAGCTAATAAACCACTTACATAAATCTGAGTAGTCAAACATTTACTGGAGTTTGACCATACCATTCTCTCTTAAACTATAGTCATGTATAGTACCTACACAACAGTCCTCATTTCTGTCTCAGTTGTCAAGTTCGACTTCTGCACTGCAACAAATTACCTGGTAGGAGAGAACCACAACTACCACAGACCAGTTGTGAGAAACAATATAATCACTGAAACTGATGATCAGGAAATCGTCCAAAACATTTGACATTGTTTGGTTCGTTTCGTACAACTTGGTCTATGAGATTACCATATTTTTCAGAACAACAAAGTAATGACTGTACTGAGTCTATATAATGTATACAAGTTATAATAATAGATATTTACTGACAGAGTTTGTGGTATTGAGTTGAAGATAAAGATTTGTGACACTTCGTTGCAAATAAATACTCTCTTCAACTGTTCTCCCACAACACTAAAAACCAGTTCTACGTTAGTAGTGTGTTTCGGCTATGTTTGAATGAAATTACGTTGTTGTATAGCCTCATACACTTATTCGGGAATATAAAATAATGCCTTGTCTCATTGTTAGTTGGCGAATAGCGATTTACGCTCTCACACTTTACACAGGGAAGTAAACTCATAACTCGTCTTAAAGTCACATTGTCAAGAGCATATGTGTATAATTTCTCCGTATCATTTACTCGTTTCAGACAGATCATGATCACAGATGAACATAAAATTCACGAAGTATTTACATTGAATAGATAGTAGACAATTAAACCATAATTAAAATGGAATTCTCAATCAGTGATTGTTTCCCCTTATGTGACAATAATTATTTTGCAATATTCTTTACTCTAGTAACCGACAAATTATAATTATTGTATTGCAGATGAAAGATACTAATCAACTACATTTCCATTTGACGCTGAGTAATTTTATTTGCCATGCCGTCGCTATTCCATTGAGTTCTTTACTTATTGTTTGTAATTTTCGTCTATGGAAATGGTTTCTACTTGCTAGAATTATTGTTTCTCTCCAAATGATCATCGGATCTTTTTCTTGTAAGTGTTTTCTTGTGAGCATTTACCGAATCTTCTGTATTTCAGATGACAACAACAACAACTAATGTTCATCAATATCAATAATCCGATCTACACTGATATGTATTTTAACTGGTTTTAATTAATGGAGTCATTTTCCATAACTTTGCCTCACCCAAATTTCTGCTAACAACATTTATCAATATTATGTGTTCTCTATTTCTATAGTTTGTTTACTGTTAAACAAACAACGCCTGAACATGGCCTAGATGCCTGTTCATGTTAGAAGTATACAGATTATTCTATAGGTCTGTATAAATTAAATAGTATTTCAGAGAGACTTTGATATCATTACTTACTTGGTATCATTAACAATACATCAAATAATTTAGCGTTTGAATTTGTTTCTTTGTATTTCCGTACTCTAGTTGTTTATTTTAATCAAGCTGGTCTACTAGTATTGCAGGCAAAAAACTTGTTTTACATCAAGGAAAACGAACCGGTGAGTGCAGAACATCAATATCACTATTTACAATCAGTATATAAAATGAGTTGACATTTCATTCAGTTGATTAAAGTTTTCCGTTGAACTCTTATTTGATTAACATAGGAAAGTGCACGCCATTGGTCTATTGAAAGAAATACTAGTTAAATTAATACAATTTGGAACAGTTGACTTTGGCCCCTATTAATATCACACTCAGATTTACAAATAGGTTTTATAATTCATGACTAAAACATTTCAGATTGTCTTCAAGCTTTCCATGTTTCTTCACTCGTGTATTCAACAACATACTTACGTGAACTGAGTGAATAATGAGGAAACAAAGTTTTCGGAAAAGTGACTATGTATTTCCAAAGTGAATAATAACTGAAGTAAAATCTCCATTCATTTTAAATGTATGATGTCTACAGAGAGAGCTGTCGAAGTAACAAAACTATTTCGTGTTTGAAAAGCCTTAGTTGGTCAACCCGATTATTTTTATGAGTTTTTTTTTACTATAAGACGCTTTTTATTTAAAATAACAACCATGTAAACTTTACTGAGATTATCTCCAAATGATTAGTATTTAGGTATTTGTAGACTTATAATGCACACCACTGATTTGTTTTATTACAGGGTTACAAGGAATTCAATCAATGTGCAATCAGCGAATGGTTCGTGATATTGGGATTAATAGAAATCACTTTGATAACTGGCTTAGAATTAAGAACTTATGAAAATCAGTACGAGGAAATCAATAAATCCGTGTGAATATATGAGGAATAACTTTTCCCCATTTTAAATATTTCTCAAATCGAATTGTACTTATTTGTACATACTTTTACGAGGATTTGTATTTTCACATGTGTAAATGAACTAACCCACATGTAGATATTCGTCATGTGGCTGCGTCAGAAGACTTTCTTCACTGAAGTTGTGATAACTTGAGGTTATAAGTACTACTTTGTTATTTTTCTATGTTCTTCCCATTGGTTTTATTTACAACTTCTTTTCATTATTTTCCGAAACGTAAAACGTTTGCATATTGAATGGAATATCAGTTATTAAATACCTATTGAGTTGTGGTAAATCGTTCGCACTAATTAAGGCATGAGCAAAAGCGTGACTACCGATTGAAAAAAATCAGGGTGTCCATTAGAAAGTCTTTCATTAATAAAGGTGAGCATCGAATAGGAGAAAAAGATTTCTAAGTGTTTAAAGTATTGACCGTGTAACCTCTATTCATTTACCTCTATGATCAGTCAAATACTGAACACTAAAAGTTCAGTGAAAAGCGTACTTTCAACAAATACTGTAATTTCTTTTAATCGAGTTATAATTCGTCATTTTTTATTAACTCAGTCACGCTCTCTTATTCATCTATTTCACATAGTGAAGCTGAGAATCAATTTGGCCTGCAAAATAAATATTTTGGCATTCAAAACTAGCTAGATTCAGAGAATATATCTTCAGTTAATATTGAATTTCATCTTGATTTGGTATTTTCAGCTGGCTTATTTTGAATAACTGACTCATATTTAAGGTTTGGCAAGAGCTAGGCTTAACCAATTCACCGCTCCCTTCTATCACACAAAGTTGATAGTAGCTATGCTGTAAATAGAATTAACGACTTTGAATGATTTAAATAATGCATTTTGATTTCCTAAATGTGGTTTTATTTCATCTTGCACATACATCAGAAATTTTAACAAACAACTTTAGTGTTTCTATGTTTAAGAGATTTGGATACCTCTAGCCGTTTCTCAGTCAAAGGAAGTTTACGGGACCATCTCACCATATTTTCCAATCCAATTTCTTTCCCCTTGATCCCTTTTATATCTCTTCTTCCTTTTCAAGATATTCAAAATGATTATTCACACACTTCTTAATGCAATAAATTTACTGATTATCAATCTAGAATGTTTATTTTTCGAGTTCGAACTACATCCTAAGTAGGAATATTTGCTCATGTTATCAAGCTATTTATTATTTATATTATTGCTACTACTGCACTAGTCAACTTATAAAACTTTTGTAATTATAGATTACTGTTCCATCTATGTAATCTGTTTCAAAGTTATAACTGGCATATGACAAACAATTCGGGCACTTATCACTGCTTTCAATCTATTCAGTTAAATCAATGTGGATACATCACAACATATCGATACTCTTCTAAAACTCTCACTTGAAATTTAGGTTATTCCATACAACAAACATTTACGACAAGTTTTATTTTCCAACTCAGATTTCTGAGATAAAAGAGAGCATTGGATAGTTCGGAGTAACTTCCGATATCTTCGAAGATTGTTTGATAAATGTGTAAACGCATGCAACCATCGTATTTCCAAGTGAGAATCAAAATTTCGACTAATGTAAGTGAAAATCAAATTTCATCCGATTTAAACGTTTCCACAACTGACTTTCGAAACAAATTAAGAAACACGTTTTCAATTTTCTCACCAGTTAGTTCATAAAGAAATGATCAAATCGCTATTCATCAATGTATTCATCGATTTTGTTTAAAGATTAGTAAGTACAAGATGTCGTTTGAAATAATTGACATATTTTAAACTTGTTTCATAAGTTGTATTGTGGTAATATTTCTGGTTTTATTTCGAACTAAAACGTCTTCATATGTTTGTGTCTCCAGAGCAATGACTAGAGTGAATAGAATACACGCAAGAGCCAGAACCCACTCAGCAATTGCACAATAAAGAAATTCCCAATAACCCTGAACATGTTGACAAAATAAATAAAATATTAGCTAAGGCAAAATAATATTTTCTTAAATAAGTTCCAACATTCTTCTTGTATAAGTTATTTAATCCGTATAGTGCTTCCATATCTATCAATAAATGATACCATTCTCTCTCTCTTTCTTAACACAGCTTATTTAATCAAGCTCAGTCGAGTCTGTACGACTGCAGAAATTGTCTTTCCAGACACAACCAATCCAGACTGAACTGACGGATTGAATGTAAACAATCCACACTAACCCATAATGTGAATTCACTCAAAATTCAAAGCATGTTCATTCATAATATTTACAAAGTGAAAACTTACACCATCAGTTGGTTTTATTCGATAAATATTCAATGTACTCAATAAGGGAAGCCCAACTACGTTGAAATAAACATCTAAAAATATACAAACAAATATCGGTGACGATTAAACTTGATTGGTCGTTGAAATGTTAGTTGTAATATTTGTCCCAGTCATAAACCTTTTATTAAACATTTACCATCACTAGGATTTAACTTACCAACCCTTAATTTTTGACAATTCGATCAATTTTTTTTAGTCAGTCATCACTACCAAGGAGCTTGACAAAGATTGAAATTGTCTCAGCCTTACACACAACAGCGGTGCGATGGAATTAAAATTGCAAAATGAATTTTTAAAACACCGTAAATATAGAATGGAATTGCATAGATGAAGACATACTAAAATGTATGATCAAGAAGAACATAAAAGGTGAATGTAGCTATTTTATTTTGAGAAATACTGGGCAGTATTACACAAAGTTTCTAACCACTGAGTGTAGTAATTGATTAGACCTCAATTTCATGGTTTCTATCAACCAGCATGGCTCAAACTTAGTCAGTTATTTCATGAACTGGTGGACAGTCGTTGTTCGGCTAATTCTAGATCCCTAAAAACTTAATGCACTTTGAGGTAGTTGCTTGTTGGTAGTGAATTCCCCATGTCTAAAAAACCTCAATCCACTAACTGTTTATCTATAATGTCTATCAGGTTTCATTGAAGCCATTTAAGTTTAGCTATAGAGCGAAGACGAGATAAAATCTTGATTGTTCGGGAATGACTTGCAAACACCATCCAATTAAATAACTCGTTTATATGCATTGAAGTGACAATTTAACAGAAAAAATTATCTAAAAGTCGGAATTACAGCACCATATCCAGAAGATTTGACAGGAAGAACAAGTGCCTACAGAATGGGAAAAAAGAAACCTCATCAAGACATAAAGAAAGCAAGACTTGAGCTATTCGGAGAACCGTAGAGATACCATACAACTATCAATGCTAAAAAAGCCTTCCAACAGAGTATTGTTGAACCTGATGAGAGATTCAGTAGATGCCCTACGTCCAATCAGAAGACTGGATTCTCTAAGGACCGATCGTTTACTAACCGAATCGTGGCACCACGGACAACCAAACGAACGGAACTCGTCACTGTACATCAACTTCCCTGACTATGGGAAATCGCTTGACGGAGTAGATAGTAGAACGTTATGGAGTCTTCTCCGACATTATCCTGTAAATGCGATGATTATCACAACCACATGAAACTTCTACAATAGAATAAACTGCAAAGTCGATCATGGAGGGCAGCTGACAAATACATATCAAGTAAAGGCCGACACCAGACAGTGTTGCTTACTCTATCCCTTTCTGTTTCTTCCGGTCGTCGATGCCACAGGAGCAGCACTTCTACAATTGAACAACATATTTAATTCAAAAAGATTGCGTGCAAGCCAAGACAGTTCTACTGCACTGAGCTGAAACTTCGAGAACTACAACAACAATCACCAAACATATACAAGTATTTATAAACAATCGTCTACTCGAGATTCTAAATGTCTGTTTGTCGGATACCATCAACAACAGTGTATTATGGAAGAGGACGAACCAACATCCATTTGAGGAGGAAATTATGAAAGGACGCTGGACGTGGATAGGATATCCATTACGGAAATCATCACACTGCATCACGAGACAACCGCTAACTTGGAATTGTGAAGGGAAACAGAAAAGTGGAATATCAAAGAACGCACTACTTCGGGAATTGGAAGCAGACATGGAAAGAGTGAGAATCGATTGTCAACAAGTAGAAAGGATTGTCCAGATGAATATGTTGGTATATGTTTTAATTATTTTATAATATACGCATACAATGTTCAACATTGTTTTTTGTATATACCTGAATAACCGAGAGGTAATATTTGAACTACTACAATGGACATCACCAACTTTTATATTAAGCAGAACCTTACTGCTAATGTGTTCATGAGTATTTCTGACAGAAAGTGTTATAATAAATTTAATCTCAAGTTATTTACTTCGATGAAAATTATCTATCTTAAATATATTTATCCATGTATATACAATAACTTACACGACATTGTACTGATCAGCATTTTTACAATAAGTGTAAGTCGAAAGTAGCAAAACCAGAGAGAATTCTCGAAATATTTAGCCATTAAGTAGCATCCCAACAAAATTGACACACCATGACACGTAAAGTTTCCAACTGTCATTAGAAAATGTATTCCTCCATAGTTTTCCATCTGTAGGTTGTTAAAAATATGGATTTCTGGAAATGTAAATGACATTCTTGAATACAGACTTGTAGGCCTCGATTTTAATTTTAAATTTATAATATATTTTGATTGAGATTTCGATTTAACTTTTTGCGTGATGAGTTGGTTACAAACCAAATACAAAAATGTACATAAATTGTTTTGCATTAAATAATTTATAAATGTTTCTCATATGAATTTAAAATGAGTGGTTAAACATCAACTGTAGATCATTTGTTTCCAGATATCGTTTTGTATGTAATTAATGATAATTAATCTAAGATGGCTCATGTATTTCATAACCGATTGCAAAAAGATTGCAAACTGATATTTACAATATGTTATTTAAAAAAATCGATACCTACAATAAAACTGATGAACATTCGGACAGGTTAATAAATGACTTTTTACTGAATAAAAATGTCAGGTTGTGACTACTCATAGTTTTCGTAAATAAATTACATAGGATATCTTTCTAATTCATCATTGGTAACTATTCTATTATTGAAAATGAAATGACAGCAATTATTCCCACAGATCTAACCCGCTACACCAGTCATTTAAAATAGTAGTGTTACCACGCATCTGTTAACTTTATCAAGGCATAAAGGTTAATTGAAATATAACCTATAGGTGATAATTAACTTGATAAGGTAATAAAAATTTTATTTCTATCATAGTCTGTCACTCATCAAAACAATCTCTTTGATACTATTGTGTAATTTTATAAAATCCGAATAATAATTAAAATCACATGATTATGACAAATGAATAATTTGTATAAATTTCATTCTGAAGATTAACCAGCAATCTTAAACTTCATATGTCTAAACAGTTTTTTTGTGTCTACACTTAGTAATGCGGTTTCGAACACCATAAGGGACTACCGACTCACTAAAGTTTCATATATGCGTCGAAGAATATTTAAAAATTTTAACTGTCTAGTGTCTACATATGTGTAACTGTACCAAATATTGACTTGAAATTTATATTAATCTGTTGATAAATATGATCTCATCATAATTACCATCATTTCAACATCATCTTCGTTCAACAAACTAGTTTCCATGCAAACCTCACTACTATAGATATTTGAATTGTACAGTATGAATATAGACAGCCGAAGAGTTTGTCTACCTGGACTCAGTAGTTAAGTGGATAGCTCGATAGTGTTTGAAAGGTATGGTACCGGGTTCGTGTCCCGGGGTGAACATTAACTCTAAGAAGCAAGTACATCCAGCTAACGAGTCCGGAATAGGACGAAATAAACGTCCTGGAGTTCAATGCTAGCCACAATCCTTGTACCTAAAGGCACTCCGTATAGCTTGGACGCATGCCAAAAAATCTGATCAATTGCAGTCTTAAACATTAATGAGAGGATCCAAGCAACCTATACAAATAGATTGATTATAGAAATTAAATGAATTCTATTTTTACATATTTGAATAATTTAAAAAAGTGAACAGAAGAAGATAAGAACTAAGTAAATTATTTGCTGTGAGTGTATCATATGATTTGTACATGATAATAAAATCTAAATAATATAGCAAATATTTAAATAGTTTCTATATGAATGAACAATGGTAAAATCAATTAAGCATATCATTAATTACTTCCATATTTCCCTTAGTAAACAGAAAATTCGTTTTTAAACAATTACAAATACTCAGTGTAAAAATTACTTTTCCATTATTAATAGAATACGTCTCTATAGGATTATGCATCGTGTTAATAAATTCCACACCTTCATAGATTAAGGTATTGATAAGTCTTGAGATTTAGAACGCTATACTCGATTCCTAAGCTATTCTTGAAGACCCCTAAGCTAGAACTATACAGCGACCTGAACACGAGAGAGAAGGCGCAAAGTATGCGAAAAGTACTGTACTTCAAGGTTCGTTTTTGTACAGAAAAACACGGGTATTTATAGATGTTAACATTTGTTAAATCAACATCATATCTTGGCCAATCCGCTAAAAGACATATTATGCTACTGACCAATAGTAGCACGCCACGTTGGCATTCTAGAAAGCTCCATCGTGCTCTGATTGGCTAAGACTCTTCGGCTCCTTCAGGGCCTCCGGAGGCTCTGTTGCAGTTCTCGGAAAGCCGACTTAACACCTCCCCCCTTTCAAAAAAATAAGACCTCTCCTTCGGGTCTACTTGCAGCTTGATAACTGGTTTTCTGCTATTTTCGGACTTTCTTGGTATCCCGCGTCTATGATTGTCTTTTGGAGTTCCTGTCACTGGAGTATCTGTAATTATATCTAGCGGAAGCCTCACTTGACTATCAATCATGCCTAGAGTCCTTTTCTCTCTGCGTATTTGACTAATGTGTTTAATACTTATTCCGAAAGTCCCACGCACTTTGTATAAAACATTCCCCATTCTCTTCTCAATGACTCCCGGTTCCCAACGATTTTTCCCGGTGTATGATTTGACGAGCACTTTATCACTGACATTAAATCTGCGGATATTCTGATTTTGTTTGCGTCCATCCATTTGTTTAGGTGGTAACGTGACGTCGAATGTAGTTCGGATGCTTCTCCCGAACATCGCTTCAGCAGGGGATTTTCCTTCTGGGACAATAGGGTTAGGCTAACTTGTCCCCTCTCCTTCCCCTTTCAGTAGTGCTCTTTTGAATGTGTCCTTCTCAAATTTCGACGTACTGACGTTGTTGCAGATCGAGTCTATGGGGCGGTCTGTTAACTACTACTTTTCTATCCAATCAAGCCCTAATAAGTCGAGTGATGGACGGTCTGTCAGAAAAATTACGCCCTTCTCCGTAAAATTTTTGACCGTGACTTCACAATGAATTTCACCAGCAATGTATAGAATTCCCCCAGACGCACTATGTGCTGATTGACGAGTTGGATAAATTCTCGGTCTCCCAATTTTCTCCCACGTTCTCCTGCTTATAAGTGTTATATCGGAGGCTGTGTCTAGTTGTAAGCGAGCATCACACCCATTAATCTTGAGAGAAATATACCTTCTACGGTGATGGGAGCCGGCTTGGTGAAGAGCTACTGTTACTTTTGCTGTTTGTGGCTTGAATCTTTTAGAATGCACTTTCTGTTGACGGCGTTTTCTGGTTTTGCAATGACTTTCTTTGTGCCCTTTTCTGGAACACATAGTGCAACGATGATTTTTAAACGGACAAAACCTTTTGAAGTGCCAACCGCCACATAACCAGCATGGGGATGAGGGTTTTTCGCTGTGATTATGATCATTCTGCGTGCTGGAACCTTTTGAGGTCTTTCTCTCGACTGCATGAACATGAAGGAACCGGTCACCGTTCTCCACCATCGAGGTATCATGCTTTAAATTCACTAACCTTTGACATTCGGTCGCTACTTCTTGCAGGGTCATGTTAGGACAATGTTCGATTTTGCTTAGGATCCTTGTTCGGATGTCAGCATCCTCGGGTGAATGCAGGCTACAGACAAACACTAGACATTTAAACTTGTCTTCAGTCATAGAAGACAATTTGAACCTCACACATTCTCGGTTCACCATTCCTGCATGTTTCACCCAGTCATCTCCTGGTTCTTTCGTTATCTTCAAGCATTGATAACGGATATTAAATAGAGATGATTGTTCTCCAAAGATTTGAGACAGGGTTTTAACTGTTTCATCAAAACTAAAGTCTCGTGGATTCTTCGGAAGAATGAAGTTGCTATAGCGTTCATGTTCCACAGTCCCAAGTTTTCTTAAAAGTATTCTGACTTTTGAAGCGTCATCAAGTTTGCAGAGATCAATATAGAATAAATCTTCATGCTTTTTAAACCAGGAATCAAATGTTACACCTGCTGCACCATCAAAATTAAATTCATATATGGCATTTATGATTGAATCAGTATGAGATATTTGTGATTCACCAGAAGCAGGGTTTTGTTGGGACAGGCACAATTTCTGTATCAAGGCTTCCATTATTCTGATTTGCGATTGTTCAAACCTCTTTTCTTGACGCACCATATAAGCTTCTAGCTGCTCCAAAGAAATATTCATTGTAGTCATCCCCGTCGCCACTGATAAGTCTTGAGATTTAGAACGCTATACTCGATTCCTAAGCTATTCTTGAAGACCCCTAAGCTAGAACTATACAGCGACCTGAACACGAGAGAGAAGGCGCAAAGTATGCGAAAAGTACTGTACTTCAAGGTTCGTTTTTGTACAGAAAAACACGGGTATTTATAGATGTTAACATTTGTTAAATCAACATCATATCTTGGCCAATCCGCTAAAAGACATATTATGCTACTGACCAATAGTAGCACGCCACGTTGGCATTCTAGAAAGCTCCATCGTGCTCTGATTGGCTAAGACTCTTCGGCTCCTTCAGGGCCTCCGGAGGCTCTGTTGCAGTTCTCGGAAAGCCGACTTAACACCTCCCCCCTTTCAAAAAAATAAGACCTCTCCTTCGGGTCTACTTGCAGCTTGATAACTGGTTTTCTGCTATTTTCGGACTTTCTTGGTATCCCGCGTCTATGATTGTCTTTTGGAGTTCCTGTCACTGGAGTATCTGTAATTATATCTAGCGGAAGCCTCACTTGACTATCAACCATGCCTAGAGTCCTTTTCTCTCTGCGTATTTGACTAATGTGTTTAATACTTATTCCGAAAGTCCCACGCACTTTGTATAAAACATTCCCCATTCTCTTCTCAATGACTCCCGGTTCCCAACGATTTTTCCCGGTGTATGATTTGACGAGCACTTTATCACTGACATTAAATCTGCGGATATTCTGATTTTGTTTGCGTCCATCCATTTGTTTAGGTGGTAACGTGACGTCGAATGTAGTTCGGATGCTTCTCCCGAACATCGCTTCAGCAGGGGATTTTCCTTCTGGGACAATAGGGTTAGGCTAACTTGTCCCCTCTCCTTCCCCTTTCAGTAGTGCTCTTTTGAATGTGTCCTTCTCAAATTTCGACGTACTGACGTTGTTGCAGATCGAGTCTATGGGGCGGTCTGTTAACTACTACTTTTC